TGGTGGAGAAGCAGCAGCTTCCTGAGGAAACCATGAGTTTGCTGCAGGCCCAGTTTTCAGGTACGGGTGGGGGCAGGGTGCTTCAGGGTCTGCACTCCTTTGCCCCACTTTTATGTATTTGTTTAACTTTATGGTATCGGTAATCCCTGACTGTTAGGCTTCTAGGTCTGATGCTATAGTGCAAAGGCTTTGGGATTTGTGGGTCCAGAATGCAACAATCAATCCTGCAAAGAATTAAAATCTCTTTCAAAAATTCAATTACTTGAGGTTGGCTACAGTCCTCAGGTCAAACCTGTAACCAAGGCTGTTAAATCAAACCATACCACCATTCAGCTGACAGATGACTCGAATAGAGTATGTTTAACTAGAAAAACCTTGTCTTTTGTACTGTCAAGAAGCAAGCTCTGTCAACATTAATCATATAACCTGAAGAAGCCATTTCAAATTGCAGAATCAACCATAACTTAATGGTTTCTCTGCCGAAATGTCCATTTTTAAGCAGCACCCACATGTAAGATGCAGTCTTTACTCAAAACTGTGGAATGACATTGGATAGGAAAAGAGGGCAAAGACCTGTTGGGGACTCGGCCTCAGGTGGCGTGGTAGGGCACGCGCTCCCTGGCCACTTGTCCATGGTGATGGCATCACTTCACAGCAGACTTCAGGTCCAAGCGGTTCCAGAGGCCGCCCTGTTGCCTTGTATTGTGCAAGGTGTTTGTAATTATGCATCCCTCTGTTCTCAGCTATTTATTTGCTTCACTAAAGCTGACCTCTTGGTGTTTTTTTTTTTCAGCAGATTTGCCTTGTGAGTTGCAGAGCTGGAGGCAGATGGCAGAATACTCACCAGAAATGAGGCAATTTGCTTGTATTCTCCACCTCTACCATGCTAAGGCCTATGATTATCTACGGAAGATTTTTCCCCTCCCCCATCCTTACAGCCTGACAAAGCAAGTTTTTATTCATTCATTCATTCTGAATGTATTTCCAGGTACTCATTTAAAAATACATGGAACAGATCCGTCCTGTAAACATTCAGTCGTAGTAGTTTTTCCCTGCTTTGTTTTAGTGGGAAGCAAATACCAAGAAATATTGATAACCCCTCATCTCAGATGTGTTTGTGCATGTGTGTCACGGCATGAGAATAACACATTCCTCACATGAATAATTTCAGAGTAAGTGTGGAGTTTGCTAAGTATTCCTAGAGTACAGGTGTGAAGAAAGCTACATTTCGGGGCTTCAGGTGCTGTAGGGTCTATATGTGTTTTACTGTTTGCTTGGGAGGAAGGAGGAATACAAAAAAGCAGAAGCACTTTTTACCACATTGGTACAAGCCCTTGCCCCGTGCCGTGGAGTGTAGGCTTGTGGGAGGGGAAGGATGAGCCCAATAGTGGAAGGAAGAGTAAATACGAGTAAGATTGTCTAAAAAGAAGCAGTAAGAGGCAATGTTAAAATACTCCACCAACAGCCAAAATGGAGTGAAGAGAGATGGGCAGGAATAAACATCAGTCGAGGAAATCGAAACCAATAGGACTATACGTGGAAAACTTTGGGATTGTTTTCTGGAAAAGGGAGATGTCAAGAAGGCAAGATTAGGAAGTGAAGGACTGCATAAAGCAGAGCAGAGCTTTGGTTTTTCTCGCCTTGCTCCACAAGGACTCTGGGAAGTTAGTGAATCTTGACAAGTGGCTGTTTCAAAGTTATAGAAGGGAGATATTTCTGTATCACGTAACTCAGTTGTGGAACCCATTGCAAGTAGTTATGTGGGCTCAGAATTTACTACTGAAGTGCTATCGGACCCCTTACCAAGGAGTGAAGTTGTATTAGCACACAAAACACAAGCTGAAGAAACTCTTCCCCATACAGGTTTTGAGTCTCAAAACTCCTGTAGTGCAGGTGGAGGACTCCCAACAGATACAGACATGGTCCTTGCCAGCCCGTGGGGGTTTCACACAGCTTCCTCCAAAGCGTTTGCTCGAAGGGGTGTTGGGAGGTAGTGGATGGAGGGTGTGTAGAGGAGAGTAACGTTCCACGTGGGCTGCTGAGGCTTTCACATCTTGCAGACTGGCTTTCTCCACACACAACGTAATCCAGTTGGGAAGAGGAACAGCCTGGTGTTGCTGGCCCTCTGCAGAGCCCGATTTGTGCTTCTCTGGTTTAATTCCATTGGAGAGGCAGGAAGCTGCTTTGTCACTTCCCTTCGTGTGCAGGGTGTGACAAAAGAAACTCGGACTACGCATTGAGAAAGGCAGGGCTGTTTGCTTTATACTCCGTGTCTTAGCCTGCTCTACAGCTCCGGACATGACTGACCATGTCCTAAGTGGTAAAAGATGCTGACTGTTCCTTCAGTTTTCTCAGAATCACATCTAATTGCATCCTCCCTTTTTTTTCTAGTTGGCTGTCTAATAACGAGGCTGCTGCAGGCTTCAGCAACAACATTTTTCTCCACCTTCAGGCAAAAGTGGAGAGAGGGGAACAGGCCTACTGCTACTGTGCCCTGATGGTACAAGACGTGTCCCTGCAGAAGCAGCAGGAGTGGGACCCGCAGATGCAGCGCCTGACAGGCTTTGTTGACTTGGGAGCAGGCGTCCTTGATGCTGATGAAGCTCCGCTGGCCTCAGAAGCAATAATCCTCATGGCAGTCGGCATCTCAAGTCCCTGGACAGCTCCGCTTGGCTACTTCTTTGTGAACAGCACAACTGGCCACTTACTTGCTCAGCTGCTTCATCAGGCTATCAGTAAACTGAACAACATTGGCATCACAGTGCTGGCTGTGACGTCAGGTGCCACTGCTCGTGGTGCTGAGACCGCCAGAGCTCTGGGGATCAGGATAGATCCTGAAAGGATTCAGTGCACTTTCCAACATCCGCCTGGCTCTGCTCACAGGATCACATACTTCTTTGATGTTTGTCACGCACTCCAGCTGATAAGGAATGCTCTGCAGTGCTTCCAGAAGATCGAGTGGCTCAGTGATAGCGTGCGGTGGCAGCATGTGGTGGAGCTGGTGGCCTTGCGGGAGCAGAGGGTGTTACAACCATGCAGTCCCAAGTCAGGTGGACCTGGGAGTAAGGAGAGTTACCACCTGAAGGTCAACCTTGCTACCCCGTTGTTCAGCGAGGGTGTTGCTGATGCCCTGGAACATCTCCAGAAGCTGGGCCTGGCCTCATTCCAGAACTGTAGCGGTACCGTCAAGTTTGTGCGTTTGATGAGCCGTCTGTGCGACGTATTTCATGGCAGAGGTTCCTATAGAAGGGGACTGAAGGGGCCTTTTCTAGCTGGAAATTACACCAAAATAAGCCACCTCTTTAATGAGGCCAAGAACTTCTTTGTAACCTTAACAGACTCTATGGGGAGATACATTATTAAGAGCAAACGCAAACTAGGATTTCTGAGTTTCTTGCTGAATGCTGAAAGCCTCAAGTGGCTTTACACCAACTACATGTGTCCAGAAGGTGTTCCTCCTTCCCTCCACCTCCTGACCTATGCCTTCAGCCTTGACCCGCTGGAGCTGTTTCTCAGGGCCCTCCAGCAAACCTGCAGCAGCAGCGGGAGCCCCACCTGCGCTGCGTTCCAGGCTGCTTATCATAAACTGCTGGCCAGCTGCAACCTGGCACCCAGCTCACCACACAGCAGTGACTCGGGCATTATGAGCTCCGTGGACATATTCCAGTCTCGTAGGAGAGATCTGACCCTCGGTAGGATTCGTGCTCAGTATAACCCAGCTCGTGGGAGGACTGTGACAGGACAGTACCCCTGTTGTGCAGGCTTTCTTTTGTATGGGTCTGCACTCGGTAATGCGCTGACGGACCTATCGCTGCATGCACAGTGTGTCACCTGCACTGCAGGCTTCGTTGCTGAGCAATTAGCCTCTGACTTGCAATGTGAGACTTGTCTCGCTTCCCTCTTTGAGTCAGATGAGAGCAAGTTAAGATGCAGGTCAGTGCTCTACATAAAAAAGTTAGGTGGGGTGAGTCTGCCCTCGGCAAGCGTGTACCGCATAACACGCATTTCGGAACAAGTCTTAAATTGGTACAGCAAAGTAGGAGATGGGCACAAAACCACCAAGCTATGGCATTTGTCTCTAGAACAAAAAATCTTCCGGGAGCTCCTGGGAGAAAATCGCCTCTTCCCCACTCTCACAAACCATTTATTTGATGGCGACTTGTGCATCAACAATCATTACATAATCTTAGTAAAGGAAATAACACGATGTTACTTAAACATCAGAACAAACTATGCCAAACACCGGAACTTGAAATACCATTGTGGAAGGCACAGATTGAAAAGACTGAAGGGAAAACATTTGTTTCCATCACCACAGGGTAGCTGTCAGTCAAACCAAACGCATGCAGGGTCATGAGTACTCATTGCTGTTCCAAGGATGGTTGTCCCCTACTGAAGCTCAGTGATGGCCAGATCTAGGCAACACACAAGGAAACGATGTGGTGTCTTCCCATGATTTGGTGGGAAAAACTGGTGTTGATAAGTGGTGACGTGTTGGGCCACTGCAAAGCAGCCAATCAGAGTTTGGCTGAGCAAAGCGAGGAAGTTAATCTGATCCTGTGTTCCATCTGGCAATCCTGCAAAGCAGCCATGTATTTTATGAGACTCGCGTGGCACGTCAGGATGAGCGATGGTTGCTCAAGATGCCTGGGAAAACAGCAGGCAGTGTTGCCGGGAGGCTTAGTGCTCTGAGGACTCCTGCCAGGAGAAAATGGATGCATCTGCCACGCGGTTTTGGGGGGATGACATGGGCTGGCAATTTGATTTCACCAAAGCAGATCTGCTTTTAAAAAGCTGGAGGCAAGAAAGCTTGCAGAGCTTTTACTTAAAAAGAAAATAAAGCCATGAAAAGAAAATGGCACTCAAGTTGTACACAAGCTCTACTTTCCACTCCTGTGTCTCATCAAAAAGCTAAACAAGTCCAGATCCCCTGGAATGGGGACTGCACTAACAAACTACACACCTAAAGCCCCATGTTTTACAAGTGAGGTGGTGGATACTAAGCGGAGAAGCTGTTGTCCATGAAGGTAGGAGGGCAGCGCTGAGGCTGTGACCAGGCTGTTGTGCCCAGCAGCACCCAGGGGCACCGACACCCTTCTCTCTGGGCAGGAGCCCCAGGCACCAGCATAGGAGTGTCCTGTGGCAGGGTGAGCTTTTTGGCTCCCATTATGTGGCCCTATCGGGTCATTACTCAACTGTGCCCCATGGCCCCATCCTCCCGGAGCTGGTGTGTGTCCTGCAGGCCAGGGCACAAGGCAGTCTCCTTTTCAGATGTTGTTTCCGTTGATTACTTGGAATCATAGATTTGATGCTATCAAGTAGGACAGGCTTCTTCAGTCAGCTCATTTCCGTGGCAAGGAAGCTGCCTTGGTAGGCAGTGCTTTACCTGGAGTAGCGAAGTTTGGCATAACTGCTGCTAAATGGCTTCCTTTTGCCATGCTGCATCCATAGAGATGGACAGCAACTATTTCCTACAAAACTCTCACTGTTCAGTTACTTTTGAGCTGCATGTTGGAGATGAGATGAATAGTGGTGATCCACTGTGTCCCAGGGCAGGAATAATATTCCAGGTGCCATTCTGCCTACCAGTGACTTGACAAAACTGTCCCTGGTTGGTTTGGGTTGTTGTTCCACCTCTCACTCATGGTGGGAGCTGAGCTGCTGCACTCAATTCCTCAAGCTCTGCTTTGAGAAGCAGCAGTATCACAGAACTTCATGCATTCTCTGCTGGGAGTAGCAAACCAAAACCTTTTTGGACTGGACTTTTTTTTCCCCCAGTCCAATTACTTGCACAAAAAGCCATGTTGAAGCCGTCACTGCCATGGAGCCATTCCAGCTACAAGAGACTCTGCAGGAAACTTGTTTGCTCCTATATATACGCGATTTTTAGGACAACTGGCAAAACGCTGCTGAAATCCCAGTGGTAGATTGGTTGCGCTCACATAACGTAACATTTGCATTGCCTAAACCAGCCCCAAAATGAGCTGAGCCGTAGGGACGAGGCACGTCCTCGCTGTGCATTTTTTTCAGCTGGGCATAAGCCTGGTGCCACTTCCTGTTTACATCGGAGGGAGCTTGTCTTGTTCGATTCATCCTGAGCCTCCTCCCGAACGGGAAGCTGTTACACAAAGATCGAAGATCGGTGAACCGATCGGGAGAGCGCGGCGCAGATAGACTGAGGTCGGGCTGTGCATTCCTGTGGTTGACCTGCCCCTACCCATGACCACCACAGTTCACACATCCTTTTGTGATTCACTGCAATACTGATGACGGAGGTTTTCAAGAGATGCTGAGGAAGTTTTACAGGGCTTGGTAGGATGATGTTTGAGCAAAAGCACATTATTAGAAAAAAGTGTGGCAGTTATCTAATTAACAAAGCTATCCAATGTTATAAAAGCTTGACAGTTGTTATAGCAACCCTATACCAAATGCCATTATTTTCCAGGCCTGCTGTTGCCCACCACAGATACCACTGGCTGTGCTCACACCGCAGGAACTCACAGGTTTCCGTGGAATTTTTCAGCATTCATAACTCCACAACTGCGACCAAGTGATTTTCTGCACCGCTTCTTTTCCCACAGTGTCTTTTGGACACTGCCTTCTCTTCCCAGCAATTCCTTGCTCAGATATTCACCATCTCTGAAACACTCTCACCATGTGCTCCATCAGGTCCATACAAACCCACCCCCAAGTCACTTTGAGCACCTCATTCCTTCTCTCAGTCCTCTCCTGCAGCCTAAGGTAACCGACAGCCTTCTCTCGCTGGTGTGCTGGGGAGGAAGAGCTCAGTCCATTCATTCGCTCAACATCCTAACAATGCTTTTAAGACTCCCTGAGCATTCATGATGTACTACCTTTACCAAGCTGAAAAAAAAAAGCTGAACATAGAAACTGGATGCACAAAAACAAAAACAAGTTTTACTTTGCAGAAACAAACTGAGAGCTCTCTTAACTGACTTGTATTCCCTAATGCATCCGAGTTATACAGTTTTGCAAGAGCTGCTCACAAACCTCCTCCCCAAGAGAGACCTAAAAAGCACACAAATGCCACAAGAAAACAGCACATTGCATCCTGCTAACAAGCAGTCTAAGGCTCTTGACAAACCTTTGCCTCTAAGTTTTGCCTGGGGTCCTGAACAAGCTCTGTGTAGCACCCCGCGGTCTTCAAGGGTGCTGCAGAATGGCCTTGCACACTTCTCTGCTCAGTCCGAGCCTAACGCTTGTCCAGCCAGCGCACGTGGAAGAACGATGCTTTCTCATTAAAGAGTTTAAAAGAAATCGAGAAATCATCACGTGGGCTCAACTACCTGGTGCTGGCTTGGATGACACATTGTGGCCCTTTATAAACTGTGCCGCAACGTGCCACGAGTTGCTGTGCCTGACAGTATGCCAGTAACCAAGGGTTTTATCTCTGGTAGGATTCAATCTTGTACTGAAAATCCAGGCCAGGACTTGCATCGGATGTGGGCCTAGTGTTAACAGATTTATTTGGATATTTCAATGAAAATCATCTGTGTATATTTGTCAGTGCTGAAGGAAAGGAGTGCAATAAAAAATAATAATCGTATTTACAGAATAGTATAAATGTTTATTTTTCTTTGTGATTTATCTGGCTGCTTTATTTGTACAATATAGAAAAGTGTATTCTTTGAATAGGTCTAGTAAATATAAATTTAATTTTTCTACTTTCAGATGTAAACAGAACTAGAAAATGAACCCTTGCCCCATTCCCAATTATTTTTATGTAACTGGATGAACTTGACTGTAAATCTTGTCCAGCAGTTTGATGCAAATGGCTAAGGAAGTACAAAAACCAATTCACACATTCTACACCAGGGAGAGGGAATCCAAGCTTAATATTTGAGAAAGCTTGTTCAAAACAAAACAGAAGAACTAAGAGCATTTGATTGCACCTTCAAAGTCTTTACAAGCAAAATATTCTCAAGCAATGCCATCATACATAATTACAACTGTAATCTAAATTTCACAAGTGTTTTTGCACACTGTATATAAATACACATCACAAAAGGTGCAATTTAGAGTAAGACACGGAATATATACAAAATTAACATGGATTGAAGTCTAAACAAAAGAAGGCATATTGCAATCTGTTTGAAAAATAACGTAAGTAGGTATTACTTTATTCACTTACACTAATTTACATTTATACAAATCCTACTCGACATACTAGATTAGGTCACTAGAAGTAAACTGAATATCTGCACTATCTACATGTAAAGTTACTGCACTGATTTTTTTTTTTTCAGTAAAACCAAGTCCTAATTATGAAAAAAAAATGGCATTTACTTACACGAGAGGTGGATTCCCTTTTCAGAGATTTGCACAAATATACTTGCTATTTATGTTCAGGGAGATGTTAACAGCAGAAAGGGCCCTTCAGACTGTGACTGGCAGCTCAAACCTTGTCTGCAACAGCCACTCGACGGACCCATCACTGCTGCTGGCCACCTCCCAGGCTCTTCATGCCCCCGAGGCATTTTGAGGAGGCACCAGGTCAAGGAGAAGGGGCTTTCTCCTCAGTGCACAGGACCGCAGGGTGAAGAGAGGAGGGGAAACATCCTCCCATCCTATTGCCATCACACATGTAGGCACTTAGCTCTGCTGCTGGTTTGCCTAGCTCCTACCTTTCCCCAGCTTGGCCCTGCTAGAAAACCTGGAGGAAGAGCTCTGCTGCATTTCTCTGTATTTACAGTTTTATACGAGGAATACAAAATCCCTTTTGGAAAAACCTAGCTATTTCAGGCTGCAGTGAGACAGGTAATAAAAATGTCGGTGATTAAACATGGTTATTGACATTCATGGTAGGTTAAGTAGCCTACCAGGTTAATTTTGCAAATATATTCCACTATCAAAAACGTGATGTGAGATTGCCTGTTACAAATACTGAGAAAGTCCCCTGCCCTAGTCTATACACAGCTATAGTTGATTTTCCCCGTGCTCCCCTGGCTTTGTATAAAAGGATCCGTGCATCTGTTTTGGTAACAATCGTGATTCTGTGCTAGCATCCTCTCTGATCACAGCTCTCACAGTCATTCTAAACAACACTAAAAAAAACACCTTATGCCAAGTAAATTGCCGACATACAGAGAAGCAGCATCCTGAAGACCCACAACCAGGCTGAACATGATCCCTACCTGCATTTGCAAGTCGATTCGGATGCAGATTGTCTCGAGTCCTCATTAAGACAACTGTGGTTCCACCATCTCCCATGACCGCAGCTTCTCAGACTTAAAAACACTTTTCCAGGCTTACAGCTCGATCCTAGAAAACACAGTGGACTGCACACAGCCCTACCTCCAGTGTGGGATTAGGCTGCTGCAGACCTCTGGAAAACCAAGCATCCATCTGCTACACATTTAGGTAACACTGTACACTGGGCAGACAGTCCGTCATTGTGGCATGGCTGCTCTTCCTCACTTCTGAGACCAGGCCAGTCTTAAGCCTTCAGGTTCCAGCTTAAGAAACATTTGAGCTCTCAGCCATATTCTTACCAAAAAATTCCCATTAATTCCATTCGCTTCTGAACTCCTTCAGCCCCGCTCCAGCAAGATTCTCCACCACTTCTCCAACGCTAAATCTGCAAGCAACCCTTCTGTATTATTGCGTGTGTATTTCACAGCACTGTGCACTAAAAGAACATGCTGTGTCAGGTCTTAAATACAAGTACTACCTTCCATTTAGGTGCTCATTTTTACACACTTCCTTTCAGAACTATCTTGGATACAGTGGTGCCTCCTTATTATGGGCCTGTTGCCAAAAGCATCACCTGGCTGTTGACACCACCTGTGCTTTCCTGTATGCACATAGTGATGCAACTCCATACGCTGTAAATAATATATATTATAATAATTTATATATGCCCTTCAGGCAATTAGTCTGGGGAAAGGGGAGAACATATCTAATTTTTAAGAAACCCAAGGTAAAAGCTGTACATCAGGAAGAAGAATTGACCTTTAGGCATTGTCTTAAGTAGAAGAGAATTTAGCTAAGATTTAAAAGGCTCTACATCTTTTTATAAAACATCTTCTTGTTTCAAACTTACACAGGTCAATTTACAACAAGCACCAAATTAACAAATATTATTAAATCCTCTATGCCAAACCAAAGTGTCCCTGTGCCTTAAGTGTTCTGTTCAGTCCTCTTTATTGTGGCTCATGTGCACGAGTCAGCAGTTCATGGCACAAGGGTCACTTTTGGACTTCCCGGCAGAGTTAATAACTCGCATCAAACAGCGTCCAAACTCCTCCAGGATCATGCGCTCTGCTGCAGCTTTTGACTTGCCCATCTTCTCCGCTTGCTCTGCCTGCGCGAGAAGGCATTCGCAGGTTGCATCAGCGACCTCCTTGGTTACAAACGTAAAGGGCAGCCTGAAACAGAGAAAGATCTGCTCACTCTCAGAAAAAACACACTTAACTCCAGGGCTGGGCAACTTTTTAGTACAAGGACTGATGAGATTTCATCTGTCCCATTGCTTTCAAGAGCCTTTAGACAACCAAGAGGGAGTGAATAAGCCAAATGAACTGGTGGGCCATTGTGTTTTGGTGCCTGCCTCCATTGACATAGATTTTGAAATAGACCTTGAAATGCCCAGGTACCTAGAACAATTCTCCAGCTTTTACTATAAGGGCAGCTCAAGGATTACATCCTCTCAGCAAATGGGACACTTGTACTTCATGCTTTCTGTGCGCACGTGGGAAACCATGAGAAGACAACGCTTAGTTATGTGCTTGAATGCAGCTAGGCTTGGCATACCCTAGGTTCCACAGAAAGAACGGCTGTCTGAACATAAAGCTTCACTCACCACACTGCTCCTTCTTCTACAGCTTACACAGATAACATTCAAAGATGACAGGGACGTACCTGTCATGTACATCAGGAAAAACATGTTAGAAGCAACTGAACGAGGGTGCTGCATTAACTTACTTCCCACCACCACTGCTGAGTGCTGGTGTTGGCCTTGTCAGCAGATCTGAGATCTGGGAAGATAACTTGGTCTTTGCAGCGGTCTGCTGCTGGACCCTAACTTCGGCAGCATCTGCTAAATGCATCAGTGTCTTTCGCTCTGGGCTTTCTTCAAAATTTTTACAGCCAATGCATTTGCATATGGAAGAACACATGATTTTTGCCTGAAAGAAACAAACAAAACATGAAAAACCTGTTGCAACCTTGACTCCCTTTATGATAAGCCACCATGAAAAGGACATCTTATTTTAATCTTTTTATCAATTAGCCACAAGAAGAAAGCCCCAAGTAGTAGTTTTCTCTCTAAATTCTCACCTCAAACTGAGGTGCCTTCCCAGAATGTATACTTGAATCAAATGAAAATCAATGGTTTCCCACTCATCGCTTTCTTCAGCAACCTACTGTTTCCGAGGAGAACTTAGGTGGTTGAGCTATGAGAGAGGTCAGTCTGCCACTGTCTCTACATCCTCAGACTGACCTGTTAGCTGGCGCAACAAAAACTTTTGCTTTTGTCTTCCACAGACATGTTCTATCCCAGAGCATCTGTGGGATGCTGCTTCTACTCCTCCTAGGGACTTGGTGCAGTAGATTTCTTTAGGAAGTACTGCTCTTCAGTAAAGGACAAATCTAATCCCAAGTTCAAAGTTGCTACGTGGTTTAAAATTAAACTTACACAACAGAAGTGATCAATTTTGCCATATACTTGGCTTTCTATGTGCAAACTGCTGGAAGAAGAGATAACATTATAGCAATAGAAGAGAATAGAAGAGAAAATATTATGGCAATACAAAGGAGGGACAAAGCAAATCAGAGAAGTTGTACCACTAAAAAGCCAGTATCTTTAAGATGATATAATGCTTCGTACCTCATAACATTCGCAGTAGTTTTTGAGGCATCCCGAACGTTTACAGTTACACCCTTTGCTGTGTCTCCGATCTGATTCTCCTTCCTTTCCTTTCCCTATTTTGGGCTTGAAGGCTTCAGGGTTTCTGTCAAGGCAGGCCTGTCAATGCAGACCCAAAGGGTCAATCACTGCATGTGGGGAGCAGAATTTAGAGGTGCAATAAAAGAACTTAAGCCTTGCACATGTGGGAGGAGATCAGGGCATTACACACTCACTCTGCCCTGCGCCGTAGCTTCAGAAGACACAAGCTAAACGGCTTTCATCCCGGGGGCAGGGGAAGAGGCCCCTCACCTTTATTGCTTTTTGCCTATCGTTTTCATGGTCCAGGTTGTTATAACAATTTGTACAGTTGCAGTTATTGCAGAATTCACCGTTTGCAAAACAATCACAATACCTGAAACAGAAGATGCAGAAGGCATTTGTAAACGTAACCATGACATTGGCGTTAGCACTGATGGCAGTAGCAGAAGTTTCTAGTCTGGTGATATGCGCAGACACCAGTAAGGGTAAGGGTTACCACTTGTAGACGTGGAGTTGAGCATAGGCTATCAGCCTCACTGCAAGGCCTAAATCCTCCAGTATAGGTCTAGTTGCTGTCTAAAGACAGAGGTATAGCTCAAAGGTGTCCATTTGAGCTGATGTTCACATAGCACAGGTCCCCATAGCAGCAAAGAGAAGCTAATGAGACTTTTTTCTATGGTAACTCCTGTTGCCATCCCACCACAGCCACCTCATAGCCAGTTCCCGACCCAGGCACTTCAAGTCAGACTTCAGGAGCTCTCATACAGCCAAAACAAAAAGACAAGCGATTAGAGTGGCAACCAACAGGCAAACTGATTAACACAGCAACGAGCGTTTTTGTTAGTTTTGCCCAATAAGCTGTTTGTGGCTGTGAACTGAGGCAGAGTTTGCCAAAGCAGGGATGGAAGAATAGAAAAGGAGTAACAAGTGGTGCATCTCATAGGCTTTGAAGCATGGTTAACTAGGGAAAGGATCTGAATTAAGATAAACCTGTAGCTATCAGAGGCTTTTTAAAGGGGCAAGTATATGAATAAAAAACAGCAAGACATTGACAGGAAAAGCCAATCACATTGCCATGCCTCTTATGTATCTCTGCTACCTCTCACCAAACCCAAGATCTCACCATCCCACAGATCTGATACATAGAAGCACCACATTCATCCCCAGCTCAAACATGGCTTTGGGCCACAACAAACTTTGGTACATTTCAACGTTTCCAGTACCATCTCCAGCTATAGCTGACGGAAACTGCTGATCCTCTTCAGTTGCTTTTCAAATCCTGCCGAGAGTGTATGTTCATTTGAAGGAGCCTAAACCCCTTGCAAAACTGGTTTCCTGTGGCTTGCCCAAGGTAGCACTACAAGAAGTAGACTAGGGTTGCTCTGGAGTCCACTACAACCCTTCATCTGCTTGAACTACATTTTGGTGATTTTTAGCATCCTGAATGGTCCCCGGGACAAACTACATCAAAAGCTTTTACAACCTGTAATAGCTCTCCTTTCTGTCCTGTTTAAAACTCAGTAGTGGAATGGTCCTGGTTTCCAAAACAAACAGCATTAGCATCAACCCAGAGCAACAGTGAGCAAATAACCTCTCCAAGTTGTCGTCTTTGTCGAATAGGCTATGCGACTACCTTCAACATTCATTTGGGAAAAAGCAACTCCCCTTCCAGACAGGAAAAAGTTTTACTAGCGAGGAAGCACCTTTGCCAGAGTGAATTAGCCATTTGCTCTGCACCAATGCCTAGCCACTTAAAAGATATAATTACAGTAATTTATATGAAAAGTTTGTTTCCAAAGAGCATTCTGAAGGTGCAAAGCATCACCAGCAATGCCGTTATTGCTTCCAGAATTTCTAGAGCACTCAGGCACCAAAGACTAAAATAAGTGGAAAACCCTAAACATCTAACATACATTTGGCACTATGAAGTCAATCACCTATGTTGTAAAACATCTGAAAAAACAGCTAAACATCTTCCTGTTTACCATGTCTTCTGTGCCACATACAATTTTGAGGCTAGGAAGCACAGGGCACACCTCCCCACATAAAGGTGGGGTGCATTACATGGAAAGAAACCCAAGCTGAAAAGTTTAAACACACTTCTCAACTTGGGTTCAGATACCGTTGCATCACTTGCCCTTGGAGTAGCACACCACCAATTTCCTCTTCATTGTCTAGGATTCAGGGAACCACTGATTAATTTCAGTATCTCCTCCTGTTATTGTGTCCCCCACCCCCCAAAAAAAAAAAAAAAAAAAAAAAATCTCAGTAAACTCACTTCGTCTCAAGTTAAAGAAACTTAGCACTTCCTCAGCTTAAAATGCTTTTACGTCAAATTCTTACAAAGACACTGAATGGAATAGCAAAATGTCTCACAAGGATGATCAAGACTCAGATCTATCAGTGAAGAATCACTTGTCTATTAAGAAAAGATACACAGCTTCACCAAAGCATAGTAGATGCCCACTGATGATACCACGGGATGTCATTTCGCTCACAGCAACAACACCACAACTACAGCTGCTGAGTGGAATTGGCTCCATCATGCAGCAAGGCTGCAAAGTTAGAAATTTATAAAATGTTAGGGTCCTTATAGTTCTCAGGAGTTGGAAAATTACACAGGCACTGCAACATCTCCACCAGAATCAACAGCAACCTTAAATTAGCATCTAGACATAACATTTCTGACATACTTAAAAAGATTATATTCTGATACTTGGCATAAATTTGTGATGTCAAAAATCAGGCTTAAAAAACCAAAAACCAAAACCCAAACCCAAGCTGTACTTACAATTTCAAACATAGAGACTTAGTACAATTGCAGGGCTTCCTGGGGCGGTTTGCAGATTCAGAAGGAATTATTCTGTGGGGAGGTAGAAAACGCATTTATATACATGCACACTGTTTTATCAGTTTCTTCCTATTCTAAATTCAGGTAAATAGCTCATAATAAAAATTTCAAAAAATCTTTATATTCCCCTTGCATTAGGTTTTTGGCTGATTGCATTTAAGTAACTATTATATATAGTGCCTTTTCAACTCAGAAAGAGCTGGGTTATTTGCCGCAAATCTGGCTGCATGCCTAATGTAGAAGTGAGGTTTAAAGCTAGAGGAAGCATCATAACTGAAAACTAGAATCAGGGAAAACTTTCCCAGAACTCCTCTATGTGCAGGGGGACTAGATCCAACCAAGGTTCACACACAACATGATTGTGCCTTTCCTTTTGTTCTAGCTGGAATGAAAAAAACCTCATAAAGTTCCAGAATAATGGGAAAGCAAGCCAAAACATGCTATTCAGTTTATAGATAAATTTAGCTATCAGACACAGTCTTTAACTGCTCTTAAAACTCGGATTTTGTGTCACTAATCGCTTTGATGAGATTTGTTCCATCCCTATCCAGCAATTTCTGCACGTAATACCAGGGAGATTAAATCAAACCCATTCGTTTGAATAGCTGCATCTGGATTTGGGATTAATTTGCATCAGTTGAAGCTACAGCAACAAAAAGCACCTTGGTGTTTACAGTTTCCAGCAAACAATAATACAAAAGAACTGTGCAGAACAGCTAAGCCTGCTGGATTGGCAAAGGGAAAATAATACGTTAGCCATTACTTTCATCCTTAAAGGAAAAATACAGGACTGAAAAAAACCAAAAGCCTCCTATCAGGATCCATTTTGGTCTTTAGTTCCATTTTGCTGTTCGGCTGGATTTCTGCATGTGCTAAACATCTAGCTCTTATACTGTCCAGCATCACCTCTTTCCAGCAATGCTGAGAAATAGTTGAGGCTTGTAGTTCCCAGGTGCTGATGCAAAATGAAGAATGAGCAACAGGGAGCTTTCAGGTCAACTTCCTGCTACATGAGTTCAAAAACCAGAAAGAAAAACACAGCTTTGGAGCAGGAGACTGGCTCAATTGTCAGACAGATCCATGTCCTTTAGTCAGAGGTAATAACCATACCACAGTATACTTGATTTTCTTGGAAAATCCCCCAAACCAAACTCCAACACCTCAGCTCCCACTTATAATGGGACTGAAAGAAGATGCTCATTCAGCACCCTATACTGCAGGTCTGGGAGTTTTTTTGGTTTTGTTTTGGTTTTTTGTTTTAGGGTTTTTTTTGTCTTGTTTGTTTTGCGTGCAAAACACTCACCCGTTGAATGGTAGTCGTGCTTGGGACTGGATACTAGATGTCCCTGTAAAGCCAGTGTTGCTTGCTATAGATACATATGATGATTGCTGTAGCTAACAAAACAAAAAAGTTAATGCATTAACATAAAAGAAATTAAAGTATACGCAAGAGGATGTGTAGCTAGTCTTTTAATTAGCTTTCCAGGTATTGTTATAAAAATAATATGCTTGTAAGCACAGTTTTAGACATTTGTAGAACTTGGACCAGGCAGCAGCCTGCTGCTTCCATAACTGGCGTAAAAACATTATTTTAGATGATATATTTGTTCACTATTAACAGTGTCTACAGCCATACAGATAATGCAGAGACTACACACAGAAACGTTCAGACCACAAACAGTTCCAGCTCCTAAAACCATGCTCCTTTTCTCCCTTTTTTTCCTAAGCAACCCTGCCCCTAATAAAGCAGGATCGCTTCCTGCGCAAATTACTTTAGTAGCTTCCTTAATATACAAGTCACTTATTACAGAATTAAATAAAAGCAAGTAAAATGATTTACAATCCAACTTCTCTGCATACCTGGACCCACAGCTTGTTTTTCACGTTAAAGAACAAACAAACAAACACAAACCTCCTAAGAACCTGCCAAATGAAACTGTTATGTGCTACCCTTCTTTTGCATTACCTATGCACAGCCATTTTCTCCTGCTGGGACAGGTTCTGTAGACAGACTGGTACATAACAAGATAGGGAGCTATGGGGGCCAGGCCAAACGGGACAGATTGTGTCCAGAACACAAAACCTCTGAGGAGAGGTCCAACAAAGGATATCATTTAGTTTAAGATAAGATTTGTGGAAGTGGACTGTAACGACACAGTAAGAATCTTCAGGGTCAAACTGCAGCTGTGGCAAAACCAGCAGGGAACCAAAAGTGAGGTTGGTACCAGTAATGCCATGAGCTGACAGAGTCCTCATTGGTACAGACTGGTTGGTCAGCCTTCAGCAGAACATTTAATTTTTTCTCCTTTTCATTCTGAATGTTGGTCAGATCTTGGCAAAGAGCAAAAAAAATTAATCCCTAGACCTGGGTTCATGTGACCAGTACCACCTGCTGATGTGGTCAGCAAAACCAACGCCATTTTATAATGCAAGCAGCCATTCTCTGAGACCGAGCAGGTCACATATTTGTACCCTTTGGCCTCGTTATCAGGCCCTGAAGGTCCTGTGAACCAAGTAGACAAACCAATCATATTTTTTCTTCCCCTCACTACTGGCCTCAAGATTCCTGGATACCAGGTCAATTACTCCCTTCCTTACTGGCCATGAAGGTCTCAGGCACCCAGACAACCAGATGATGGTGATGACCCTGTCACAGAACAGGGACGCGTAACAGCACACAGAACACTGTCTATAAAATCAAGTAGTTCCAAGTCCTAAGTGAGGAACTTGGACTGGAGCTGGTGCTGGACAGTGAGACCTGTGACCCCTCGGTGGCCAGACAGACCTCCACTAACATCTGCTTCCAACAAGGATCGAGTGAGTGACTTGTATTCTTTTGTATGATTTTCGAGTCTAGATTCTGATTGTTATATTGATAAAGCAAACCTTGTATTAAGATCTGACCCAATCGGCAGAGGGTCTAGGTGACTAGAAATTCTAAGTTCAGATCTAGGTGATTAGAAATTCTAAGTTAAGTTGTATTATAAATTCTGTACTACACTACTTACAAAATTGTACTACACTGATTCTGCTTATAGAAATCCTGTTCTATTCTGATTAGAAATTCTATGCTATGCTAATCAAAAAATCCTGTTAAGAAAATAAAGCTTTAATTGTAACTACGATATAGTGCCATCATCATGCTGCCAAGGATCCCTAAAAGAAACTCTGTCCCCTTAGTGTCAGGTGACAGTTGGCGAGCAAGAACCTTGAAAAGGAAGGCAGTATGTTCCACAACAGCACTATTTCCTTATTTATCTCTTGAGTTAACGCCATACCTGTGTGACGTACTGAGCTGGAAGGACGGCATACCCGACATTTCCCGTGCCAGGCGCTGGTGCCAGTACAGTGCCCGGTGGGAGGTTGGTGAGGTTGGGCTGTATCTGTGGCAGTGGAGTGGCTGGCATAATAAGTCTTTGTTGGGGCTGACTAGTAGTAACTATCTGGGAAGTTGGGTTGATCGGTTTGGGCACCACCTGGAGAGAAAAGAAGTCTTTATGAAATCATTGTTTTGTTGATTCAGAATGGACTTTCATTAATAGAACATTTCATTACAGTGCTGAAAACACATTTTTCCCTGTCCAGCCAAAGTCAGTCAGGAATATGCTTTTTACATTTAGCTCACCTGTTTCACAGTCTGTGCTGGCACTATGGGAACAGACATCCGCACTGGGGTCGCATTCACCACCACTGGCTTCGCTAGTAGCGAGAAACAACATCACATTAACACACATCATTCACTCAAAGTCCACAGTTTAGTCCTCCAGACTTTCACATGTGCATAACGCAAAGGTACTTCATACTGTAACTATGCTCTGAGATTAATTGACCAAACTCATGGCATATAACACTTATGTCTAAAGAGCACCTCTGTAAACAGGTATTTGGCACAATAGTGTGTACACGTTTCACAGCAATGACTTAAAATCCAGCTTGGGTGCAGAGCTCCTCTGGAGACTGGATTTCCCTTGGCAAGAAGAGAATACAAAAACCACACCTTGGTTTCAAATCTTAATCCACTACAGCTCCAGAAAGCACAGACAGAAACCAGCAGAAATATCTGGCACTTGTAAAGCATTTTACATTGAAAGATCTTCATGTTGCAGGAGTTTTGGCAAGATGTTTGTGGGCTGTCTTGGATTCGCACTTTTCATACAGAGGATCTGGGACTTGCCATGAGTCACCCACAAAGCTGGTAAAGTAGGGAAAAGCAACCTAAAATGCTCCAAGGATTCAGGCCCAACTACAGGGCAATTTGACACAGAGGAACATTTCCACATACGAACCAGAAGTAACAGCAGAATATGAAATTTATAGGAGTCTACCACAAAATCAGGTACATCTGGCAGTCTTGACAGATCTCTATTATGTACTCATTTTAATCCTGACAAAACCACCACCACAAAAACCCCAAGAAAAACTTACTTCAGACAATACATTAGCACCAGCACTTACCCTGTTGAAGAGGTTGTGTATTCGTACTGGGATTTTGACTGGCTGACTGGGTTGAACTATTGGCTGTTGTGGCAGTAACGAGTCTAACATAATGGAACTTGCTTCCAGGTACCTGAATCTGCTGAACATTGGGTGCAGTTGCCAAGGGAATAATTGTCTTAAATTGAGATGTACCCACTCCTCCTACAGTAATGGTCTGCACTGCTGATTTCACAGCCTGTTAAGCCAACACAGACAGCACAAAGTTACTTGTACAAAGGCAGAAAGACCACCAGCATGTTTATTCCTCAATTTGGTAGGGAGCAACTCTTTAATCCATTTGTATCCTTGAGAAGTAAGTCAGTTACTTTTGAAAGCTACGGTGGGGATAAAACAGATGTAAAGAGATTAAAAGCCTCTCAACAGCTCAGAGCAAACTCAGTTCCATTTTCAGTGCTCTATGCCAAACACCAGAGTAAAATAATATTTACATGAGTAGGGTGACTCAGTCCACTTCCCCAGATACAATGTCTTTCAAAAACACTTCAGGTGGTTACAGAGAACGTTGCTCAGTTTGTATTCAAAATCAAGCAATGAACAAACCTAGAAATATTCCTACTAATAAAAACACATGGTAAGAACTTGCAGAACTGTTCATGCTGGACTGCAGGATGATTTCTCTGTGTGTACAGATACGTCCTGTTAAGACAGCTTGCGATTAATACACAGAAGTCACTGTGCAGCCCTTGAGAAGGAAATGGAACAGAATCCATAAACTGATAGCTGAAGACATGAGAAAAGAGGACACAAGCTGAGAAATCAAAGAAGTAAGAACAACAAAGAGTAGCAAAACCAATTTATTAACAAAAAAAAGCAAAAAGAGGAAAGAAAGGGAGATTGGCAGACCTGTGCTACCTCACAGCTGGAATAACAGTACATCTGGAATTTGCAAGACTTCATCTTTCCAATTTCTCTCAAACTGCAAACTGATAACAAGCAAGTGCTTATTTTATTTATACATATTCATAAGTCTACCAGATTGATAATGGCCTCTTTTTCCAGCCTTGCTGACAACCTCAAACCTTGGTTTATTCGTCCTTTCTCTTCTTCCATCTAACTTCCTTTGGAGTTCAGCTTTTTATTCTCAGTGTCTTTTAATACTGCTACTAAATGTATCATTGTCCTTGGCATTAAGTTTTAGTATTAAGTTTGGTTGATAGTATGATGTGACTTCTTCTTAGAAGATTTTCCCAACTCCCCAGCTTTCAGCAACTACATGAATGAAATTTCAATTTGCACATATTTCACTGGAAATATAAGTCTGGTCTTTTAAAAGAAGGTGTTTTCTTGGGAATTTTTTTTTTTTTTAAATATATTGAAACCTCAACAACCCAGAGCAATTAAAAATAAGCACTATCTGCAAGCACAGTCACAGCTTAAGTGTTATCATAGGGAGACCAACATGGGCAAAGTTCCCTCTAGCACACAAATTAGTGGCTGCTATCCAAGGACAGCTAGGAAAATTATAAAATTCAAGGGACAGTTCTTTCAAGGACATGTTCTTGAGCCCAGTGAAGACAGGTGAAACCTGTGTGCTGTGTCAGATAGCTCTGGATCTGAACTCAGTATGTATATCACACTGCCATCTCCGTTTTGTCACTCAGGGTGCTTGCATTAGAGTGACTTAACCTTTTAACAACTCTTTCAAAAAGACAATGTTGTCAGTTTTACTCTGAAAACAAACAAAAAAATCAAATCATACTGGTATTCACGTCCCCATATCAGCATTCCAATCATCTCCTGTATCGGTAAGGCAAAACTGGCAAAATCTGTCTGAGTATCTGGTCTTGTGCTGTACAGGCAACGGTATCCACTCCCTGCGATATCCCCTCTGGTTATTTACACTCAGATGCATCCTTCCATGTTTACCAAAACAGCAATACAGACATTAAGACAGAAAAAGATTCATCTAAGATTACAAAAGAGGGAAAAAATAAGAACTGTAGTTTGTAAGAAAGGTCAGTTTTGTCTTGTCATTCATTAACGCAAATCAATCTATCAAAGCTATTATGGAAAACCCTGACATTTTTCTAGAAATGAGACACAGGAAATTAATAATTTATAATTCTGTAGGTCTTGAACCATGGTGTCTCGCTTATGCAGACCTCTATCACAAGAACATGAACTCCATTCTTGCAAACCTCAGAAACACCACGAAAGGAGCCCTAGTAAGTGGCATAGAAACACTGGTAGAAGAGATAGAACCACTCAAAGAACTCTTCCTCATGCCATAGGGAGCCTTTCAGATGACTTGGCAGATTCAGTGTACAGAGACGAGAACCTGCACCAATTGGGGCTTTCCAGGTTGGAAAGCTGCTTTCTAACAGCATGCCCTTGCACAGGCTTGCAATGGTTTGCACCCCTCGACTGAAGAGGAGAGTGTTCCTCAGGGCAACGCTTTTGCCAACTCTTAAGCAAACACCATTACAACAACACCTTGGGACTGACCACTGCCAATCTGTGGTTCAACACTCCAGTTTACCCGCAAGCAATGAGACAGAGACAGGCTAAAAGACAAAGGAAAAGTCCGTCTGTACCTGGGCGGTTGTGTGGTTGACTATAGCCTTCCCAGGGGAGGAGGGTGCTGACTGCTGCACTGTGAGGATCTGCTGTCCTAACGCTACGTTCAGTGGGACGCCCACCGTCTTCTGGGGGGAGCTGGGAGGCTGGGAGGCCACTGACACCACTGTTAGCTGCTTGGCAAAACAGAGAAGCAGTTTAAATCTCTGCGCAGAATACAAGACCCTGCACATATACATTCTCCTCCTCACGAAAGTACAGTTCTCCATCGGTACAAAGAGCTCTCTCTGTGAACAAGGGTGCTGTATTTAATCACAACTCACACGGATCCGACCATTCAATGACAGCACATAGTCATGTTAGAAACTCTAAGGCATTGCTGGTTTCCAGCACCAAAAGGCCTCTGCAGAAAGCTAGCACAGCTTCTGGTTTTTTGTTTGTTTTTTTTTTGTTTGTTTGATTAAGGAAACTAACCCACTGAAGCTGGAGCATTGTCAGGATGGATTTTCTGAAAAACAGCTTCATAATTGGTACCGTGACTATTTACTCATAAATGGAAATTTTAAAAGGAGAGCTGTGGGGAAAGAAAGAAAAAAAAAAAAAAAAGTCTTACCTTACACTACCAATTCAGCCAAAGTATAACAACATCAGTATTTGCAAATGTACTTTCCAGATTCCAGTAGAGATCCAGTCTTCTGACTGCATTTCTGCAGAGTGCAGTGTTTGAATACTGTATTCTATATAGCCACACCCTTGCCAAGGTAGGTTTTCTACTTTTTGTTCTGAACTTCCTTCTTTATGTTTTGAGAAAACTCCCAATTTTTGAAACCATTTGATTTTAAAAGATACTTAGAATTACTTATCTGCAGCAAATTCAAGATGTAACCCTAAGGAGTCTTTTCACTCCCACTCATTGTTAATTTTGATTCTAGATTTTATTTTTTTTTTTTTTACTTCTTCCTCATGTTGCTTCCCTCACTAATAATTCTCAAACACAAGTCCTTCACTCCATTTGTACAACATTACATACCTAAAGCACAACCAAACTAAGAATTCTTTACTCTTACCCTAGTTTTTTATACATATCTAGTTTGCATGCACTATGCGTCTTGCCCCTCCCTCCCGACTCTTCCTTTCCCCAGCAATATTCCTCTTCTCAAAACAATTTTATCAAGCGTAAAATACAAGTGTCACCATGACACTTAATCTGTAACACAGCTTACAATGGATGACTTACCTTTTCTATCTATTGCCCACCTGTGCCAATCTCCAGCTCTGTATTTGTCAAGGAACACTGCAAATCTCATTTACTTCAAATGTTATCAGGGAAGACTAAATTACTATTATTAAATCTATGCAGTAGCAGGCAATGGTTAATAAGAGCTGACCTGTTAACATCATTGAGGTCTCCTCTTAAACAGCCTGTTGACATTTTATGAAGGCATTAAAAAAAACCCAAATCTGTTTGAGCACTTGGCTAAGAGAGAACAGCTGCTCTCAGAATGGATGCTTAGGAAATGGCAAGAAATTCCAGGAATGGGAAACTAATGCAGTAACGCATTTTTCCTTAAAACCACAGTAAGGGAGCTAATTGCAAAAAATCTAGCTTAGGTCATTACTGCAGAGCATTGTGATGTGCAGTGGAGACTCTGGAGCAGCAGGACCATAAGGAGCTTGTAGCAAAGACACAGAGAGCTTCATTCAGGCCACTTGTGCAGGAAGGATAGAAAGCTGCAGCCAGAACCAGGTCCTTACCTTATTAGGGGATTTGAGTGGCGAGATAGCTATTTTATTCGGTGTCTGTTGTGTTGTTGTACTCAGAGATGATCCAATGACTCCACTCTCAGAGATCGTTATTGTCTTTGGTGGTGTTCCCGGAGCAGACTGTGAAAGAACCCTACCTATAAACAAGAAAGGTATCATCAGCTCAAGGCATCCCTGTTTACATTAACTTTTAAAGCAAAATTTTCTCTGCATATCATGCCATTGATACCTACTTCTGAGAGTGTATTACCTGGTAGGAAGGCTTTAAGTTAGATTTAGCGACAAAGAAAATAATTGCCATTATTGCCATAAATGAAAAGACAGTTCTCTTGGGTTTTAAAAAGCTGAAATGTACATTGAGCTTCCTGTGACATTCAGCTGAAAATTTTTTAAAGCCAGGTGAGCATCCTCCAATACACCTGCTCAAACACTGTGCCGTGCTCAAACACCCAGCTGGCAGCTTCCTAGGAACTCCCTGGGCTACTGCCAATGTACAGAGAAACTGAGCATCTGTGGGGGGCTACTTCCTTTGAAAACCTCAGCCATCAGAAACAAACTGTGTTACAGTGACCAAGAAAAAGGTGTTTGGTCTGTCTATGCTCAACTCTAAAAGTTTTGGGTTTTTTTCTTCTGTGTTGGTGGTTGTTTTTTTCACCACCTAACAGAATGAGACACTCCTGTGAAAATACAGGGGGTGGTGCAACACTGCTTTTACAATGGCAAAAAAGGTTAAACATCAAAACCAGCAGTTCCAAATCATGAAATTAGTCTTAGGAATATTGCAAAACTCTTTCATATTTCTAGGTTTTTCCAAAGAGTTCTTGACCACTGCGCTTTCCTCCACTGCACTTTGGCTCAGACTCATTTCTGTCATAGCTTCTCCGTCACCCATTCTCTTGTACTGCATTTATCAAAACAAGAAAGAAACACCAGCACGACTTTTCCATCCAAAACCAACCAGTGGCATGACAAGTCAACCAGAACTAACAAGAAAAAGCATCATCCTCATGGAAAGCTGCCTTCCTCTGAGGTCTATGTGCTCTAAAATAACCTTCACTTTTGTGCAGCCCAAATAACAGCACAGATAGTTGCCAGCAGCTGCTAAAGCCACATGCAGCCTGAAAAATGTCAGTCTGTTGAAATTTTTACCATCTACAGTACTCAATGCTTTGAGTTTGTTTCTTTCCTGGTGACAGCTTTCCCTTTCCATTATATCCCCTCTGCGCCCCTTGGCATCAGCTTCCTAAACAGAATCTGGCTGCTTATATTGACAAGTCTTTCAAATTTACAACTTCCACCTCAGTTTGCAGAAATTCTCAGGCAATTAAAAATATTTATCAGATTCATCAAAAAAACACATAAAGAAATCAAAATACAACACAGAAATGTTACACTTTCTCCAAAATGATGCCAGCCTCTCAAAGCTGGCAAGCTGTGCTGCCTGTTTGGGAAGGCCAGAGGAAAGGCAGATGTTTAAAAAGATTTCCCTCTCAATTAGAAAAGCATCTTCAGCTCCTAGGGATACTTCTCTCACAGGCTCAGGGACAGGTATTCTTGATTTTCCAACAAATTGATTTAAAAGCTGGAAGTTTGTTTATTTTGTAACATATCTGTTTGTCAATATTACATAGGTATGTTTAGATTTAGACATTTCCCTTCATTCTGGAGGCAGCAAAGTTAAAATATGCTCTTGTTAGTATTATTTTGGTTGTGGTTCCTTATTCTTTACCAGTTGTCATGCATTGCCAGATGAAATGCAATGCATTCAAAATGTAACGCAGCTCCAAGTGGCTCATTTTGGGGTTTTTAATGTTTTTGGGTTGGGTTTTTTGTGGGTTTTGTTGTTGTTTTGTGGTTTTGTTTCTTTTTTTTTTCTAAAAAAACCACACACAAACAGCTTAATTCTAATATTTATAAACATAGTGAAGTAAAATTCTTACTCACAGGTCTGTACATTTGATAGAGAATTGTTTGAGAAAGGGGAAAAACTGGGGAATGGGATGGGAAATCCCTCTTTCACCTGAAACATGAGTCGGGCTTCAGGGTGCAGGCAGTCTGACAACTCAAGGAAAAAAATATGTTTCAGTTATGTGCTATTCAATTGTATCTATCAAAGTTTTGAATACAGGAGACAGTTGCATTCTTTTCAAAACCAGCTCAAGCCCCAGTTCTGTAAAGGCTTAACAAATTTGTTTAAATACATGGAAAAGATTTTAGGCCTACTTGGGTTGGTCAATCTGGAAGCAGTTGAAGACATACTTCAAAGCTCTGAAGACAGCTTTGGCTTCCTACATTTGTCCTTTTCAGATAATTTACATGTCTCAGATGTTACTTGCTAAATGCATCATTACAAGTATGCAAGGGACACATCAGTCCCACTGCCATAATAAACAAATGATTACACTGTGGGGTTTTTTTTCTTTAATTTTGGGGGTTTTTTTAAAGGACAAACAGATTTATTTTCCAGAGACAAACCATTTCTTATTTGCCTTAATTACCTTCTGAAGACTCTTCTGCGATGTTTATTTTTAAACTAGGTGAGCAACTTAACAGAAACAACACAGCTTTATTTACTTCTTTTTTTACTCAAACATTTTTCCTGTTATTTGCATGTATTACATTTAAGTCCCTCTATAAGCAGATTAAAGTAATACAAGAGCACGTGTCTCCTTTCCCCCCTGTGCATTTATATAATGTATCTACAACTATTTGCTGTTTATCCAGTAGACGTTTCTCTGGCTGTGAGGTATTTTTTTCTCCTCCTCAAAATCCAGAAAATAAAAGCATCTTACAGTAAAGGCAAAATGATCAAACTCTACAATCATGAAGATAATTCTAAATGAGTGAAGTGTAAAGATACCAACAACTGCATTTATCTGCTTCTACCCACAAAATTCTGATTTTTTTTTTTTTTCAATTGCCTGAGGTACTTTAACAGAAACTACAGTAAAACCAGAGACAAAAATTTCAACAATCACCATCTCTTTGAACAGCCTTTAAAAAATGGTAAAGCAAAACAAGTCAAAATAGTACAACCTGCAACGACTGGTGATACTTGAGTGGTCTGCCCTGTAACAGCTTTGCTATTGATTGGTTTTGCAAATATCAGCTTGGTGATCACTGGGCCAGAAGTCGGGGTTCGGGTCTTCTTCGCAATCTGAAAGATGGAGGAAAAGACATCTAAAGTAATTTGAGCATTTTGGATCTAAATTATTGTATCGTTAGGTAGATTAGAAAACAGGAAGGTCAATACTTGCACACATAATTAGAAGAATAACTGCTTATCTCACATTTCGCCTCCATTTCTAACTATGGAGAGAACTAGGATATCATCCACGCCACTTTAGAAAACCAGTCACCAAAGCAGGACAGCCAAATGCCTTACAGCTTTTTCGTAAGGTATCTCTCTGTGCAAACATACCTCATCTTCAAGATGCTGAAATTATTTCTCACATGCTGTTGGTCTATATAAAAACATTAAAATTAAATGTGCAACTCTTAATATTTGAAACTTTAAAAAAAGTTACTTCTTTTTCAGCCAACCAGGACAAAACATGTACCTTGAGTGATTTAAATATGACAACTACTGCTCTGAAACATCTCTTGACCTGTTTTGACATAGCAGCACACTTTTATCCTGCAAATGGGGAAACAGCCTTCTGCAACAGTTCTCAAAAAGTACATTTCAGTCCCTGAAAGTTTTGGGTTCTCACTATCCAAGAACAGATCAGTTGGCTGCACCCCAGGTACAAGGGAGTCTTTTTCCCCTTCTGTGATCCAGTCTCCTGAAACACAGCTGGACCAGAACATGTATGTGCAATTCCATGAGACTTATAAAGTTGAAATCTTTATAAGCAGAGTTTTATAGTCTTAAAAAGTCTTAAAGAAGAATTTTTCCCCCTTTTCCACACTGACAGACGTTAACTACCAGATGCATTTATCCTAATAGTTTCTGTACACCGACATCCAGCTAGTAAATGGTTGAATTAAGAGATTGACTTTTTTCAAAGACTATTTTAACCTGTTGACTGAAGATGTGGGCTATTGCTAGGATCTTCCCCGAGTGCAGGTGACCATGCTGGAAGGCATTACTGAAGCCCACCCCATAAAGTCAGGCCCATACTGTCTCTCCTCCATGCCCAGCCACATCCCATGGGCACCAGCCACCAACTCCAGCAACATCAGAGAGGCACAACATGGGCATCTATGTGGGGAGCCACCTCTCAAAGGCACAGAACCACCTTTGTTACTCAAGTCGCTAATGGAGAAATGTCACCGACATGCAAAGATACAGAAATGACAGTGACTTTTAACAGCCTGAGAAAGTTACGAGTGCTTAAATGAAGCAATTGAGTAGGCTGGATGTTATGGTTTCCTACACAAACCCCTATTTATAGAGTTTGCTGACTGAAAACACCTCCTTTACAGTAGAGTAATGCCAAAACGTTCAAAGTATTCAGTAGCACATAACGAATTCCCCAGCTGCCCTGTAAAGGGCACACGTGAGGCTGTTTCAGGTCCCAGCAGCATGCTCATGGCATGGCTGGTGAAGCTGGAGCTCGCCCCTGCTACGGCACTGGAGCCCTCCATCCTGCTGTGAAAAGTAAACGCTGCTTCTGCATGCCTGAGTTGTGCCCAGGCAAGGGAAGCCAGCAACAAACAGCTCTGACATCAGGTAGTACCAGAAAATAGACCTCATTTAAAGGAAGCCATGTGCTGCTCCACAGTTACGGTACAAGTGTTCCTTAGAGGAAATCTCCACCTCAGACCATTGGCAGGTCATTCACCCAAATATGGTGCACCCAGGACACATTAGCTGCTTTACAGGTGGCATACAATAGTCAAGGCTTAACATGAAACAGAGAAGAAAAAAAAAAACCACCACATTCTTTTTGGAGATACGTTAACTGAAACCTCAAAACCTAAGTTGTTTGAAGAAGGAAGCTTCATTCGCAGCCTAGTTTACAAATTTAACTCAAAGCCATTTTAAAATTCCAAGGATTCGGTGCTCTTGGCTCATTCACAGCTGATAGATGAGCAGGCATTTTATCAGTAAATTATTTTTTTTTTTTGTAAATTCGCACATTTTAATTTCTGATAAATCCCCCATATTTCATCTGCTTGATTTAGGATTTCCATTCTGCTGAAATTAATCTTACCCTGCCATAAGGTATTATTGTAACTCAACTGCTATTGCTTTTACTCTCTGAAGCAAGGGCAAAGTCTGGCTTAGAACACGATTAACATCCAGCAGGAACAGCCAGCTCTGGACAACAGCAGTCGTTTCCCAGTAACAGTTCATAGGTGTGCTTAAATGACTTATATGAATATGTGTATAATACTGCTTCTCATTAACATAAAGTATTTCAGAAAAAAAGAAAGTAAAAATCCCAAAACGATAGCTGGTAAACACAAGTAGCCCTGCTTCCCTCAGACTCGACTTGCAGTATCCTTCTTAGCTAAATTCCCCCCTGCTTTTTGGGTGAACTGTTTGTCTATGAAGGATGAGATCTAACAAACAAGTGAATCCCCTCAGGGCTTAGGGAACATGGCAAAACTCAAACGTGGTCGGTTATAGGTGAGGAACAGCCCTTGGCCCCCAAGTACAGGCAGTGAACTCCTGCCCTTGCTTGCTGCCAAGCGAGCCTTTCTGAGGTTACTGCCACTGGAGTTGATAACCTCAGCCACCCACGAGAGCCTTCTAGGCATCAGTGGGAAACTCGCTACCCATTTCAGTAGAGATTAGAGAACCCAGAGGAAATAATCAAGACGACAGACTGCCCTTTCGATGCTTCAGAAACAGTAAGTTCTCTGGAACCCTCTGCCATTGCCTGTACTAATCACAACAAGCTTAACATTATTCCTCTGCCTATGTAAGCTAAGCATGCTCTCTGCAAGTTACTTTGAATTAGACTTCAAAAATACTTCCTGAGGCAACAAGCTCTTCCATAAAGAAATTATTATATTTAGAGGCACACACCAACCTTCTTCCCCCTACAGAAGTAAAGAGATTTATCTGCAAGCTCCTTTAAGTAAAGGGTCAACTTGTGTCTTCCTAAGCACTCTCCACTAAACAAGATGAACCAACAAATTTCTATGGCCAGACTTTGTTTTCAGCTGTCAAACCGTGTTCTATTCATACAGAAAAAGGCACATGCATACCTCGCGTTTACTGCTGGATTGAATACCCACATAGTCAGCTACCACAAAGGAGCTAACATACTATAAATCCACTCCCTAGGTGACCTCATGGGTGCTTGTTCATGTAGCCACGCCCGATGTAATTTAGATTCGGCATAATATAAAAAATCAGGGACTCTAGAAATAGAAGAGAGGAACAGCGTACTTCAGAGAAGATGAAGAAACTGAGCTAGGAATGGGAGTTTGCCCTGAGGTTAGCGAGTGCATGAGGTCACTTTTCCACTATGAGCTGAAGCCACAAGGATGGCTTAGCTTTGGTCTTGCCATGGCAGCAACAATGCTATGGACACGTAGATTTAACTAATGAAATGCAGAGCCAGTTACCACATCAAGACATGATCAAGTTAGATTAGCTTAGTGAACAGAAATGGCGATGGGTCCGGATGTTTGGTTGAGAGTCATCTGCCAGGCCAAACTCCTGCTTAATGCACTTGGACTAAAGTAATAAACCAGCAGGCACATCATTATTTTTAAGCCTGTACACAGGCAGGAGCCACAGGCTAAAAGCAAATGCACTTGCCCAGTAGTTTTGTCCACACATTCAGGGCAGTGGTTTAAACTAAATCAGGACAAGCTGCCAAGGGACAGTAATAAACCTCTGGATATAGTGGAAGCTCAAGGTCCTGCCACATTTTACACCTTACAGCCTCATACCTCTAAAATTGTAATTGGAGAGGAAGCCAGATTCCAAGGAAGATTTTGCTCAGCTCCATCAATTATGCCTTTTCTCAAGTGCTGAGATTTCAAATGTCACAATTAGATTACAGCAAGGCTAACTGAGTTTCTCTAATGACCTGCAAAGCCCCTACGACAGTGAGGATGTAAGGAGAACTGAAGAGAGCTCTTTGTCACCTAATCTTTTACCAATTCACTTTTCAGCACCAAGTCAAACTGCTGCGCTGTGTTGCGTCTGAGATACTCGACTCACAAACCCACAAGAGATAAGTTACACAAGACCCTCGGGAGGCAGGGAGGCATTCACAGCTTCCTTTTCCACTCACTGAAAGGTTAAGAGGCTTGTTCAGGATAACGAGGTAAAGGCACAACTTCATTTTCTAAGCCAGGGACTCAAGGCGTGAGTTCCCTCCCCTGTCATCCATGATAGGGTAGACCATGAATCTCTCACTAGCCTCATACATCCCTCTGATAATTTAGTAATTTCCAACAGGGAAAAAAGCACTGTCTAGGAAGTGCTAATGTAATCATCTTCCCTGCAGTACCGGGTACTTATAGACAACTGAACATTGCCTTCTTGCTTTTCATTTCTACTTCACCCTCTCCTTATAGGAAAAAAAGGAATGCCAGGTGTTAACAATGCAATATGGTTTGCAAATGGAAGCAAAGGTTTAATAAAGAGACCACAGCGAGCCAAATTTACTCAAACTGCAATTAACTAGATTTACAAATGGATGCAAGTCCATTTGTAACACGTCCTATTGAGGTGGAATTCCTATGACAAACAGCAGAGGTCAATCACCAGGTCACTGTATTTCCATCACTGATGGCACAGGTCATCTCATGCAAGCAAAAGCACATCACAGCTAAGTCATTCTCTTCAGTCCCCTGTATCTGTCACTTGGCAGTGAGTAACTGCAGCCAAGTAAAAGGAACTGATCCACTCTTAAATGTTCCTATGCCGAGTCAAGAGCAGAGGCTTTTTTGAAAGCTATAATGACAACCATATCATTAATGATCAAGGTGGAAAAATAAAAGTCACTTAAGAAAATTTGTGTTTCAAACAGCCATTATTAAACATGTTTTCACAGCGGTATGATGTGGCAACAAAAGCAGAAAGCAGAAAATCGGTGCAGGGATCATCTGCAGCTTTGAAACAAACCATCTGGAGAGCTGCTCACAATTGCTTGCCATGAAATACTAGTCAGGGAGCTTACGGTTCGGCTAATAACATACTTAAAAGTTTGTCATTTTTCATGTCCAGAAAATTAGTTTTTATTATCATACTTAGAGTTTAATTTCTCATTTCATTTATACCATAAAATATTTTCCATCATAACCTGCATTGAGTTCTACTTTGCCTTCACTTTCATGAGGTCTTATTTCTGCCTCACTGCCAACTAGAACAAAGTCACTCACGTTTAATTCTGCCACATACCAGATGAAAATCAGACACTTTGGGTCATAACCCAAGTATTTTCCAAGACATTTTCAGATCCCAGCAGATTCTTTGTGGTTTCAAATATCTCAAGATCCATGCCAGAGATCAGGAACAAGACCTTGAAGTGTCCAGCTTACAACAGCAGTCAGTCTATCAGTGTCTATTAACAAGTTTAACTAGATTTGAGGCAGACAAGATATCTTTCTGTTCTTTTTCAAATGCTGGAAAGTTTTTTCAGAGAGTTTATTTAAACAAACTAAACTTAATAGGCAGAAGCTACTCCTTCATAAAAGAGTAAAGCAGCATATACTTTGAATGAAGAACAGGCATATAGAGTTCAATTCAGTCTTCCTGAAAGCACATAGAATTCATTTTTATAAAACAAAAATAATGGGAAAACTCTCTTCAATTTACTGAATTTTAATAGCTCACTTTCTCCAAGGCAAATCTTAAGTTTTTAGACAGTAGCCAGAGTTAAAGGATATAAAATGGTAAATGCATCCACAGATGAAAGCATGGGCTAAGAACAGCATCGTATTTTTTAATACAAGGAATAAATGCAAAGGTTGAAAGCAACCGTGTGTCAAATCATCAAAGGAAATGGACAACAGTTGCAGCAACAAAATTGTTTTTAAGATGTTTCATCAGCATAACTCACTTTACCTGCACTGTTTTTAATTGCTGGGTCTGCAAAACAGAAGGCTGGGCCGCAGTGTTTATCAGCTGACTTCCTTGCGTCAAAGCTGAGACACCAACAACAGGTTTCACTTCCGACCGACCTCCAATAACAACTTTGATCTGCTGGCCTTGTACCTTGGAGTCTCCACCTTGGGCTTGGGACGTGGCCTTCTGCGCCTGTGGGAGTTGGCTGTGGGGTAATGCCAAAACAATAGGTTGACCAGACTTGCCCAAAGTTGTTACAATTAGCTTTTGCCCATCTGGTTTAATACTCTGATTGCCTATTTTAATATCGGCAGTCTTGTTCAGAATAATTTGATTGGCTGATATAGTGACAGGGGTCTGAGCACCAAGTTTATGGAGGCCACTTGGAAAGGTAGGCTTTACTACCGCATTCACATCAGTTTTTGGGGTTGTGGTGTTCACTGCAGCGTCGCCTGAGTGATTGCTGGGTGCAGTAACTGATTCTGTGGTGACTGTGGCTGTAGTCGTAGCTGCAGAGTCGCTGGTGGAGCTTATGTTCACTATTTCTTCCAGTTCTGTTTCCATGGGAATAGAATCTCCCATCGGCGACGACACGATAACCGCCTCGATGCTGTCGTCTTCCACCAGAGTTATACCAGTGTCCATTATTTCCTCAGGGAGCAAGCTGTTGACTTCTGCTGAAACCACCTCCATTTTAGCAGTTGTGGCAGTGATGAGCAGAGCAGGTACTGCAATAATATTTCAAAAAGTTATTGGCTTCCAGAAAACATACTTTTTTCTTTTTTTCAAAGCTTTATGAATAATATTACCAAAGAAGAAAATATAGTAGCAGAAAGTTTTTCAGACTGAAAGTATTGTGCATGCACAGGAGGGATATCACAAAAAAAATTGTTATCAAAACATAACACGTTAAGCTGAATTTACTCTCAGTAAGAATTTACATCAAACCTCTTCAACATCATCCATTGAAGTCAACTCAAGGCACCGACTTGCTGTGGATTACCAGTCTGCTCTTAATGACACAGTACACAAAGAAGTAGTGGCTCCCCTCCCCTTCAAGATACAAGCACCTTGTTCACAGACATTGAAGCTTACTGAAATATAAAGCAAGAACTTTAAACAGCTTTAAAAATCCAACAGATGATAATGACTTTTCTCATACATGTCAACATTGATTAGTAGGTTGTCCTGCCTCAAGATAACCCCCATACCAGATGTAACAGCAGTTCATTTTTGCCAAATCCTCACTTGGGAAATCTCAAAACCAAACAGCTTTCCAGCGACGGGCTTTAACAACCCCACAAGCTTGATCAGCAGCCCACCCACCCCAGGACCAAGCCAAAGCCTTGCCCTTCCTAGACAAACAGATAATTCCTCTATACTGGGCATGAAGAGAGCAGCTCAATATTTTTTGTCCTCAATACTCACAAGAAAATATAATGCCCAAATTCATGATTAATTTGAAACGTGTTCTAAACACAAAGTACACCCCATCTGAAAGAAAACAGGAATTTTTAAGCTGACTAGTAAAAGTGACCAATTTATATTAAAAAAAATCCCACAGCAAGATTCAAAGTCAGAGTCACTTCCCACTTGAGAAGCCTTAAAGACATTACTGGAAATGGGCACATCTACCATTCCCACTAAAACCTTATCACTGTCAGAGCTGAAAACAGATCAGCTTAATAAGGCACTTTCCCCACCTGCATGCTTGGGCACCGAATGGGCGAGCACATTGGGTGGCTGTGCGTACAGACTCTCGAGTACTCAGTATAAGCTCCAGAGGACAAGATCCTTGCAAACTCAGTTTCCTACTTGCTAGGAAAAGCAGAGCTGAGTTATTCATACTAAGCGACATTCATAATGAAGGAACCATGCCACTAAAAACACTGACCAAATGCCGAGGTGACGCCGATTCCTCCGGAGTCATTGTAGTTCCACTTTGCACAGCAGCAAACTACAGAACAGCTGCATTTCACCCATGAGGGAGAAGGATGGGGAAAAAACCCTGCTATAATCTACCTGGATTCCATGCCCAGCTCAGGAGGCTGTGCTATAGCTTTCCTGATCATTAAGGGTGCCATCCCAATTCCCTGCGCCTCCAGATTACAAGCCGTATCACACTGCCATGATACTCAAGAAACCTGAGCTATGAAAGAACCTGTTGAGATGACCGATAGCCAAACTCACACACAGCTCACTTATTGGCAGGCATTTAAAGCTACAAAGTTATCTGATGTCACTGCCAGAAATACCTCCTTTGGAAAGCATGTCTCCCAAAGTAATGCCAGTACAGCTTGCAGCGGTGCCAGCGCTGGTAACTAGCGCTAGACAAAACAGCTTACTCCTAAGGACACAGTAGTAGTAGTATCACATTGCTGTCTTAAAGTCAAATTGGTTAACTGCATACAAGATCACACAAAAATAAGACTAGTAAAAGCAGACTGTTTCAGCATATGTTAAGGCCACTAGCTCTCCTCCTGAGCTGTGTTGCTTTATCGTCTCCTCCTCATCCTGCATGGGCTTGTGTCTTGTATCTTACAACTTCAAACTATTTCAGATAAAAAAAAAAAGCCCCTGTTCTATACTGACAAGCACAAGGGGCTTGGATCCAGAAGTCAGACTCCTAGGGTCAACCACAATCCAAACAGTGATTGCCTCCACGTTGGGAAAAAAGAGGGAATCGTCTAAATCAGATAGTGGAAAAAATTACCAGATCACAAATAATTTTAAATTACTTGCTTTCGAGTTGCATTTGTACGTGATATTCCCTAAAAGAAAGGTCATTCTTACTATCTTTTAACAGTATTACCATAAAGTATTTACATATATTTAAGTAGTTTTACAGTTCAACAGTTATTTATATTCTTCATTCTTACCATTTGGTTATGTTACAAAGGAGTAAATGGTTATTAAATACCTATATCTAGTTGAAAGGATATTTATATTAAAATACACAGAGTTAGTGTTTTAAACAGCCTTCTGACTTCAAACCAACCACTTGCAAGTCAGAATACAGAAGGAAAAGAAGTAACAAGCTCGAATCAGAAACTGCCAAGTCAAAAGAAAAGAAACATTACACATGGTATGGTTACTGGATTAACAGCTTATGGCCATCACATTGGAAGATTTTACAGTTATTAGGTCTCATCATTTCACAGTTGCCTTCCATTAACGTATTTAGGGTAGTGTCATCAATAGCAAGAAAAGAACCACAACACAACCCACTCGTCGTATTTCTTCATTGCTTGGTGGATATGACTAAAATAGTTCTATGAAATGCAACAACGAAAATCTCACCCTAGCTATACCAGAGGCTGCTGTCGCCAAAGGCAGCTTCAACATCCCTGCAGATTTTACTTCTAGGTATTTAGCCAGGATTTCTCAACAGTTCAGCTGTTTATTTTTTTAATGCTTTTATACCAAACACACACTGTTTTCATTTTTCTAGCTCCTCTACTAAAGTGATTTCCAACAGTAAAAGCATGCCAACCTCTTTTAAGATTTGAGATCTTCAAGATAGGGTAGAGAATTATTTTAACTATTTAAAAAGACTTGAAAGTTTCCTTCTCTTCAGCAATTATGCTTTGAGTCCCTTGATAATGCAACAGCTGTACCTACAACTCCCCTCAAAAGAAGCATGTCTAAATGTTTACACTTATTTAGCTCAAAACCTGAATAAAACACAATCTAAACCAAGGAAGTGGATAAGCACACTATCAGACCAGGGAACTCTACAAAAATTCTACGATCAGATTACTAAATAGATCATTTTAGCCTACAATATAATGACCATACAACTAAATTAAAAGCTCAAGATGAAATTCACATAATGAAGATTTGTTTAGAAAAAGACTGTCCCAGCATAGCTCAGGACACCCAACCAGCCAAATGCATATAAAAAAATTAGGAACTGAAGCCTATCATCAGCAAAATCTTGGAGCAACAACTCTGAGAAATGCTGAGTACTGTGAAGAGGAGGACAGGGACAAAAACTCAGCCTCAGTGAACCACCTCTGATCATCTTACCCATTGCACAGAGCTCTCTACCTGACATTCACAAAGAAGAACATATATATCTAAATAAGAATATATATATATATAAAAATGTAAAAGGGGATTTATAAGGAAGAAGATGAAGAATGCCATCATTGTTGGCAAAAATACAGAAGGGTGTCCGACAGGTACCTGTGTACTTTGCTGTATTTTTTTCCTTTTCTGTCACTTGTATGTCAGTACAGAATCTTTAACACTGTTGAAGTGTTGAGATCGATTATATCAACATCTTTGTTGATAAAACATGCAAAGCAGCCACACTGAACAGGAAAATCAAAAGGATCAATAAAGCACATTGATCTGGAAACAAGTAAACAAAACGTAAGCTATAACAATGCCTGTATTTTACAGTAACTAACTGCATCTTATTCCATCTCCAGAAATGCCCCCATTTCACTAAGGTAAGAACATCTAACCTTCCAGTCTGCAACCATGAGCAGTTTGAGCGCCACACTTACATGAGGGTACGTTACAACATCATCAGCGAGGCTATGAACTGCAAGGAAAACTGTTCAGAAATCCAGATTACTCAGAAATAAGGCTGCTGAGACCAGCTTTACAGGATATCCTGGGATGGTGCTGCACATTAGTAAAGTCATCACAATGAAGCAGCGGACCAAGGGACTCCTCACCACTTGCAGCCCCATTTGCGATCCCCTTCCCATTCTCTTCTCAGGACACAGCCCAGGCCTGGAGGTGCTCAGCCATGAGAAGACTCCGGTATAACTTGACAGGTATAAGAAGATTGGCTAAACCTGCCTTAAGTCATTGGCAATGTTAATTTTCAACTAAATTCTGAAGTGTCACTTTCACCAGAAAAAAGAGAAAGCAAATCAGTAACAGCTTTTATATGAGCACCTATCTCAAAGTGCAAAAAACCCCCACCCCAAAACCAAAAGCTTCATAAATGCATTAAGTCCAACATAGCCCCTAAAATAGCAGGGATTCTCGTGGGATCAGTAAAACCGCCTGCTAAGCAAACGCTAACTGAAACCAAGTCTCTTTGCCAGATACAGCAGCTAGCAGTTCTTTAAAGCTGGGATAGATGCACGCACTTAAGCGTAGCATTATTAAGAGCCAGCAAGGACAAATACTTTCAACTTCCTGAGCGAGGAACTGCAAAAACCCTTAAAAAGAAGTATGAAGAGGAACAATGAAACACCATAAAAAATTCCAGCCCTCAAGAGGTCACCACTGGGCTGACTGTCCAGGAGACAAATCACATGGATGTGCCTAGCATATGTGAAACTAGTTACTACATTACTACCCACAAGAAGGTGGAAATATGGACATGTATTTATAATTACAATTTTCTTCCTGAGGGATGTAACACAGGATACAGTTTTGCAGCTCCCGAAAACCAGAAAATCAGAATACTTGCATTAAGGGACTTACAAGCATTTCCACACACCCTTGGTGCTGAAGGCGGCCAAGTCTTTTCCAAAGATCAATAAAGTTAAGAAGACATTATTAGCTTTTTAAGAGAATCAAGGCGTATGCCTAATAGTTTGCAAAGTGTCAGGGAGAACACCAATAGCTATAGTATCTCTCAAGGGATTTACTAAGGCGGGTGGATGGGAATGAGGCTGGAAACTAGGGTCAGATGAATGGTGGAAAAGTAATTGTAGACAATCTAACAAGTAATTGTTCACTGCAAGTGCAATGGA